CTCCCGGGCGCCTGGGCTCGACCGCAGACGCAGTCTGTAAGGCGACCGTCGACGGCGACTCGGCCGCATACTCGTGTCCCGGGCCGCCTCTGCCCTCGTGGGCGTCTGGCGCGCCCGGCCTCGTCTGCCTCCGGCCGCCGGGACTCGAACTTGCCACCCACAAGGGCCATGCTCGCTCCTCGTTCGCTTCGCTCTCGCCGGCAACCGTGAGCCTGGCTGCCGGCGACGGCGGACTCGCGATTGACCAGTCCACCCGCGAGATGCTCGCCGCCACTGCTCATCTCCTCACCTCGGCCATTCGGAGAGTTCCGCCGACCCCCTCGTCAGCGGGGCCAGGCCCGCTGGCCGGCCTGCCGATGTCCGTCACCGCCAACACCTCCGGTCCGCTACCGATGGGGCGCAGTGACGGCAGCAACAGCGGTTCTACTGGCCGGCTGTCAATCTACTCCGTTTGCATATAATCCCACGTCGACCGACGATCTCGGTTTTTCCCAGCCTCATCTATTTCAGCCTTAGTAAGCTGGCGGTCATTTCCATTATTCTCTTCACGATACCAAACATTTAATTTGGTGATTAATTTATTTGCTCATTTAGGCACATACTCATCTCTCATCTTTCAAGCATATATTACTTTCTCCCATCTTTTCCATTACCTCTCCTGTTGCCTAGTTAAGCATTATTATTATTATTGTCTTTATATATATATATATATATATATAAGCATAATTTTCTGCTTCATTTACTTATTTACTAATCAGCCTGCATAACTGGATATCCTGAATGAGAGCGTAAGTCACTTTAGGTCGCTTAGGGTGATTAAGGATTGCTATTAAATTTTTCACAATTAGATGAGTTTCATTCCTTTCCTCCTCCTTCCAAAAGGTATTCTTTCTGCACTATAAAATATTTAATTAAGTGATTAATTAATTTTCTTATTTATACGCATACTTTTCTCGCATCACTCAATAATGACTTTTTCTCATCTCTCCCATTTTCTCTGCTGTTGTCCAGCTTGGCATACTAATAATAATTTGTTTATTCATAATAATATAGGCGTGTGTAAATAAATGTGTGATTTGTGTAATTAGATCTACTGAATAAGAGCTCCAGTCAGCCTAGGTCCCTTAAAGTGAGGAAGGACTGGTTGTGAATTTTCAAACAATGAGATTAGTATGCCTAACGATGCCATTTAAACTCACTTTCCTTTGCCCCCCAAAAGATATTTGTATCAAGGAACTTGAACGGGAATCGAACCCGGTTATTTCAATGTATGCATTTCGTCATGTTACCTCTACTAAATACTGCTACCATTGCCAGTCGCCAAGGCATCAATGAATTTCAAGGCAAGCATGCATGGGCCATTGCAGTTGGCTGCGTTAGTCGAATTCGTATCAAGACGTATTTTTAGACTATCAGTTGATCTTGCATAAGTGTTTTAGTCACCCTAGATCCTTTAGAGTGATGAATTAGGCCTTAAGATATCAATAAATTGTTCTTAGCTCCTCAACGGGCTTCACTATCGAGTCGTGTGTGTATCGTGGTGACATCATTACTCCACTATCCAGCCACAGGTACCAGTAGGTCAAAGGACAGATTCGCCAAGTCAGTGCTTGAACATTTCATATTTGTAGTGGGATTTTCGGCTCAGCAATCAGCGATATTACTTAATTTCGGTGGGAATGCCTTTCGAGACTATCATTATCTACCTACTTACCTACCTACCTATATTCATTTATTTATATGCATATTTTTATTTAGTTATATATTTCTGTCTCATATGTGCATCGTCCTGATTATTTATCCATTTTTATCTTTATTTGTTTTCCCTTGGTTACTAGTTTTTCTATCCTTGGTCTGAGGCTGTGCTCTTCGCGGGCAGACGCCTTGGTTGTCACCAAATTCACTCAACCTATTATGTTCGGCTTCACTCGGGTGCATTTCAGCTCTTCACAGATGGTTATTTAATGTCACACGTTGACTACACCCC